CAAGGCTTAAAAAAATACTATTGGAGAAGCGAAAGGCCACTTAGTCGGTAAACGAACATTTTCTCAAAAACTATGCATCCAATCTTTATGAAAATTTTAGGATATATACAACTTTGAATGCTCTATACAACCGTATACAAATAAGGTTTAAATTCTGACTTTGAAAATTTTTCTTTTCTTTCAAACTCCAAATTGTCTTGATTTTGATGAAAATATTTAAATGTATGCAATCAATAGACATTTTTAAGGACTATCTATTGGCGAATCGTATTTTATGAGTCCGATATTTGCTGGGATTCTATACAAACAATTCCAAAATTCAGTGGAAAGTAGCTAAACTTGATTCCATCGAAATGCTTGATCTCTAGTAATTTAGAATTTCATTACGAAATATATATAGCCAACATCAACTTTGTAGAGAATTAAATTGTGGATCTATTGAAAATAGATTGAATAATCGATGTTGTATCTAGACTGAAATATTCGAAAAACATAAGATATTGTAAAACTCCGGTGACATCCGGTGAACAGCGATGACACAAATCACTCGTACTATTATAACGAAATTATTGTGCACGCTGTTCAGTATCACATACATAAATGTAATGAATATCATGAAAATATAATGGTCTACTATCATTAATACGACAAAATTGATGGTATTTAACAACAGAAATATCTCTTCTATCTTCTAGAAAAAGAAGAATGGTCTCATTTTTTATCTCTAATATATATGGAATTTACCTGGTATTACAAGACTTGATACAGTCTTACTGAATAAAACTTGAACATTTGGACATTGATCTGTTGAAGTCATTTCACTAGTGATATTTATTTTTGTTTGATGTTCGAGGAGATAGATTAAAAAAAAAAACTTCAGCGTCTGATGATTACAGTTTTATTATTCCAACTGGTAAAACAGTAAAATCTTCATACTAAAGTTTCAAATAAGATGGTTGAACAGAGAAAACCTGTTGTTCGTACATAGTTAAATTAAGAAATGATGATTTCAAATATTAATACAGCCCAACAATCGCAAGAAAGTTATTTAATGAAACTGATTTTAATCGAATTTCAACAGCATTTTTACGATGTTCACAATGATCACCACAATAGAGTTTCACACAAATACATTTATATTGTTGAATAATCGATAATGAATACGTTGGATATCAAGTTCCACCATTTATACATGGATCTTTGTCTAGATTACATATAATATTTCTCAAATGGTATGCCATTCCAAAATGATCTAATGGCCAAGGACTCTAAGCAGGGCTGGGCAACTTCAACTCCGGAGTTGGCGATTTTTTCGGTGGAGTTGGAGTTGAGATTTTAGTAGGTTGGAGTTGGGTTTTTGAATTTTTATTCTCAACTCGATTTTTCATTTTTGGAAATATTCAATAGTTGTAAACTGATCTTCTAAACGACTGAGTGGCTGTATTCACGAGTGAATTCGGAAGTTCCTTGTGGTTTCCTGCTGAGAAAAGCTCAAAAACGTCTAAAATCCTACTAAAAACCGAAAAATCTTCTTTACAAAAGTGAAGCACCCGGAGTTGAAGTGGAGTTGAGATTTCGGTTGAGAGAGTTGGAGTTGGAGTTGAAAGTCAGAGGAGTTGCCCAGTCCTGACAATAAGGAACTGGATCTTGACCGATGAAACCACGATATTCTGAATCCCAAATGGAGTTTGTTGAACATATCGACATGATCTTTGATTATTAAAATATTGACAATACTTTCCATAAAAATCACTGTTGCAATAACCGAAAAATTATTATTATTATTATTGAATACAAGATGACAATTTCCTTATTAACCACAAGTTCTGTTCAAACAAACTGTACTCAATTGAGTAACATTTTGACTAAACAATATGATGGCAAAAAATCAAAATAGATAGGATAGATCACATCAATTGAATAATTTGTGTTTTAATTCAAATGGCTCGAAACAAACACTATATGTTATGTTCCATTTCTAAATTTTCTCTTTTGTTCAATGAAGTCAGCTGTTCTCGGATATAATAAATAAAATTTTTTGTTTAACAAATGCCTTTCTTTCAAATACTGGTCGCACATGAAATTCATGATAATCGATTATTCGATCTTCAAATAGAAATGTAGCAAGAACTTTGGTCATTGACGAATCTAATGGATAATTTATCAAATCTAACTGAGTAACAACTGTTATTCGATCACTGAAGAATTCGTAATTATCACCATAGGCATTTCGATAACATAAACGTTTTTTTTCACCATTGTCGGCTATACTAGAGTGAATAGAAACTCCACGAGTAGAAACATATGAAAGACAAAAATCATCAAAGTTTTATTCGAACGCCCAGTCAAATATTAAAGTAGAGATATGATTGATTTGTTTGTTTTTGTATTACTGTAATACTGAAATAGACGTATAAAAGAAAATTATTCGTGCTGGAAAGTTTATCTTTGAAATCGTTGCTGTTGATCATCAAGCACGCGTTTTCCCAGAGTAGTCTAGTCAGTTGTAGTTGCCAAAGGTGAAATTTTCGACGAATATACCACTAATGTATCTTAGGCCGAGATTATATATTTTTGTTCTCTATAATCATAACCGATAGAACTCAATTTACTATAATTACAGCAGTATTCACCTTCTCCATCTGGGCAATCGATTTTTTTATTACATCGTGCATCTTCTACATAAGTATTACTCAAACACATAACATCGTTCTCTCCATTACACGATCGGTCATCGACTCCTTTCTTGTAAGAATAAACTATATCCTGATGACAGTGTGTTATCTTGAACAACAGAGACTAGGGAATGCGAATGGATTCGCCATAATCTGAGTTGTATCCGATTATTTAATTCTTCCATTTACACATAGACAGAAAACACGGTGAAACACAGGTATGGTTGGAAAACCCTTTTTCCTTAAATGTAATAAACCTAAAAATAAAAATCATATTCTTTATGAATCTAGACATCCTCTTCTATCTGCTAGTGAAAAGGTTTGCACTTTGGGCTTTTGATCTCATAGAAAAAGCTTTTTCCGGCTAACTGAGTTTCCGAATAGTTATTAAGATGAACTCGTCCTCACAAACTCTTTTTTGAGGAAAACTTTTGTACAAGTGATTTTGAACAATGCTTGATCCCCAAAAAAGACTGAATGAGAAAATTTTTTTTTATATCTGTATGATAAGCCAAAACTGCCTACTTTGTGGAGATTGTTTATGAAAAAAGTTCGAGAGCATGGTGAGCTTCGTGTCCCCGATGATACTATTAGAGTATACAACCATTACCATTATATTCTCTTATCAGATTCTTGATTTCTGTCAAATTTATCATAGAGCTTAATCAGAATCATCTCCAGCCGTTCGAAAAGCCCTTGGACAAAGGTGTAAACACACTGACAGAAGAGAACAAAAGTTTCTCTCCCACTTTGATGTTTGTCGACGCGCAGTTCATCTTGTCACTTTATCTGTTCTGTCTGTTATTACATTTCTAAATCTTCATAGTAGTAATATAATGTGTCAAAATAAGAGACTGTAATTGAATTAGAGATCTGCATTACGTGAACTTGACCATGGACAAACTTTGATTAGTTGTCCGTCGACACGGATGGACATAGACTCTGAGCATCTCAAAATTGCGAGATCTTTAGCTAAAGATAAGTGGTCTCAGTCATTTCGTTTTGTTCAGACGTGGCAATGGAATCAAGGTTCAAGCCATTATTAGCAATTCGATGCATTGAACTGTTGCATCTTTCATAACGATGTTCAATATCTTTAGCAATATTTTAACGAATCTGATCACCAGTGAAATCCTGAAAATTTTTCATTTTAGCTATGGCACTCCTAGCGGCGTTTTCCAGTTGTCCAGTATTATATTCACTCCGCTCAAATCGTTTAGCTAATTCAAGTGTCGTTTATGTCACATTAAACAAAGAATTTTGTAGGGTTACAAATTTTTGTGACGTAGCAAATATCGTATTTTGCAATTGATCCATTCGATCGGCTAACTTTCCGTTTTCATAAGTGTTATAAACGCTTATACCACCAGCAAAAACAGCCCCAAGTGCTCCAACCGCATCTAATACAATAGGTACAAGACGTTTCTGTCGTTCATCAGACGAAACTCCATTAGCCTTAGTAAAGTTGTAGCTCGAAAAAGATGCCATCTTGTTGGCCACTTCAAATCTCGTTCCTGATATTCTTGGCACATGCGAAGTTTGTCTGAAATTACCACAGATAATAATGAACACATGTGTTCGGTTATGGGAACAGACAAGGATAGTGCAAAATTATCATCTACTTCATAATATCGTCCACTTCTCATAAAAACCACATCAGAACTTTCATGTATTATTAACGGTCCTTCATTCATTATGTGGTTAAAAATAGAGTCCTTTTGACTACTCACATTTATCAAACCATACGATACAAATATAACAATCACAAGCAGTGTACGTAATTCTTTAATGATATACATTCGAATTAATATGTATATCAAATATTATTCAGTATAATTAATTATTATTCAGCACATCAGTTAGATAACCAATGACATTTGAGTGTTCTATAATTTAATCTGACTGAAGAACGAAACGAAGTGCCAATTACTTAGTAATCAAATATATAAAGTCAATGTTTCTACGATAAAATATAACTATATAGTTTATAGAACGCATATATATACTTTATCGAGGGAATTATTATTGGTTCAACCTAAAGATAAAGTACAAATAATCGCAAAAAATGTGTTGCTTGTGATGTGAAAGAGATTATGAGTAAAAAAAGTTAGTGTAATTTTCCTACGGTCATTAATACATCTAAACCACTAATTGGTTCATAAGTCAATCACGTTGAAAATATTTTATAGGGGAACTAATAGTTGTTTGCATGCTCTCATCCATTACCTGTCACTAATTCTGCACTCATTCGTATATACTATTAATTATTTGTTTCTGACAGGAAAACAGCGGAAGCGATTCAGATTAGAAAGAGTTTAGAAAAAAGTCTGGTAATGCGGATAATCGCTGGGTTACAATTGATGGTATATAAGAATTTTTAGATGGAGTAAAAAATTTGAGTGACAATTATCGCAAGTTGGATCATAATGAGCTGGGTTTTAGAGTAGAAGGTTCAATACGGGGTAAGTTACCAGTTCAACTGAAACTGGAGAATAGTGAAAGTATTAGAATATGGCTGTATACTGTATGGCGGTATGATCGACGTCGGGTACGTACAATTTTGTTCAACACAATAACTGCCACACTTGACCAAAATGCTTTTACAAACAACGATTCGTCCGAAAAACGTCATGAAGTATCTTTGATGTCTAATCCATCTGTCGAAAAAAATCCACACTAGGTTGAATGATAGAATTAGTGACACAAAAATTTCAGAAACCACAAGAGCGTTTACATTGACGTATGCAGAGTAGAACTTCACGTATGACAAAGGTAGACATGCACTACTAGTGGATGGGCTAAAATGATTTATGGTAAGTGACTGCATAGTGGTGTAAATTGTCCGTTAACATTTAAGTACAGTTATCGGAAGGTCAAAAGCTCAAACAAAAAGAATGCACCATTTTTCTACTGCACATCATCCTGTATTTTGCAAGAGTGTGATATATGTTGTATATACACGTCCGACATATTTGATGAAAATATTATATTTCACTTATATCACAGTGGCGAAAGGAATGTATTTTGCTCAGCTAATATGAATTGAATAAACGAGATGAAGATAAATTTGGATAGATCTCGTCAAGTTCTACATGACACACTACTTTTCCTTGGTGACACACGTTCGACAGCGAATATTTGATGATAATGATAATTTTTATGTTTTTTACTATAATCTTCAATGTGGGTTAAGCAGTGAAACAATACTACTGTACTTTCCTCCGAAACAATAGATCGTACAAAAGATCTGAACATATATTTGGATTCAGCTTGTCAAACTGTATTTGACGAGACTGTTTTCAAGCGTGACGGACGTCTGTGGGAGAATCTTTAGTACAAACAGAGTGTAATAGTACTAGTTCTCTAAGTGTTTTTCAGTTGTCACATTTGCAGAAGCTGCTCAGGTAACATGAAATATACCATTCGATATAGCTCGCCGAAATCTATAAGACACACTAGCTTTTATCAGTGACGCAGTCCAGTGAGAGAATATTTGCCAAGAATACTAGTTTGTTAAATATGTTCCCGTAGAAAATATTACCGTTTGCTCAGTAACTGGGTTCCAAGGAAGGATCTGTTTATTCCGAGTAGTGCAGTTATATAGAGTTCATCGAGTTCTCTGTGACACATGCAATAACGTTTATGACACACGTTTGTGTGAGAATGTTTCATAAAACTACTCGAGTATCAAGCTAACTTATCCTACGTAGAAAAAAAAATTTGTCATCAAAATTGAACGCAAAAGCTTCAGTTTGTGCGGAATCATTGACAGGACCACTTGATACTTCCCAAGCAAAAAAATGCCTTTGAGATTATCTAGCTATAAAAATATGTTATCGGGCAATATCGGCTTGTGATAGCTAGCTATCCGTACCACTTTTATTGAGTTAGCTAGCTATATCGAGTATGATA